CTGTTTGACGTCAAAACTAGCAGAAAAATTTCATCTAGTTCTCATGCGCACTCCAATAGAGCAGATCCAAGCGCTGCTATTTTTTTGAAGAAGTTAGTAGTTACAAGCCGTTAGACTAACTACTAACCCTTCTAGTTAGTAGTTTGACTAACTGACTAACTATTTCAGTTCATAGTTTAAATAACTACTAACTGTTTTCGTTAGTAGTTAGTACAAACTTAACGGAACTCCGACAGCCCTAGAACTAATATGTACATAGTGTTGTGCATTTTGTTGTGCTTTTTCTAATGATTTTTTTAACAGGTTTTAAACAATGCCATGATTTTCAAACTCATTTTTATCGCTTTTTTATTCAGCGTGATCTATCCATTTGAATTGGACATTCTTTACGAATTACCACATTTGCCAGCATTATTCACATTTGAATTAATTGAAAATTTATTTGAAAATCAAATAACTTATTGTTTTCCAATTATATTTGCTTATAAATGGTCCATTTTAAAATCAAAAAAAGATCAATTATCAGCAAGATTTACTGAATTAGTAACGAAAAACTATGTTTATTTAGAACAAAAGCAAGGAATTTTAACGACATCGTCCGAGACACTGGATGCTGAAACAATTTTCAATAAAATACGTGCTGCTGCGGCAAAGATTTTTGGTTCAGAAACTGCTGATCGTATTGATGCCGATAAATCCTTAATTCAACAATGGATGGATTCACTAATGGGGGTTGCGCTTAATACTGGATAGAAGAAGAATTAAATGTTGTTGTACCCTTAACTGAAGTACTTCAAGCTGCGACAATAACTAAACTTGGACATTATATTGATAAAAAATTAAATGAACGTTTGTTGAACTCATCATCGTCAAAGGCAAAAGGAGTAAATGACGTAGAGGAAACAGCAGAATGCGAAATGGAAGACATGAATCGATCACTCCCTGCAACAACAGATAAAAATCAACAGTACACAAGTATTTCATTAATATATTCATTATATCAATCTTCAACAGAAAATACAGGTAAACCTGATCCCATCTTTTGCTTAAATGATACATCGATACCAGTACCAATGTTTGAACAATTTTTAACTAAAATGGAAGATTATTCGTAAACACAAATTGACGACAATCGAAAAAATAGCCGAAGAATATTTGGCACAAATGAGACGTATACAACCACGTGGGCCCTGTTGTCTAATTGGATATAACTTTGAAGCGTTAATCGCGCATGAAATGCTATTACAATTACAAAAAAATAATTATTCACATTCTGATATACATTCTTTTATACTGATTGATCCTGTTTATCCTAGCGATCATGAAGAACAATCATCATTAAATCCTTCTGTTCCTCTTCAAGTAGATGATTCCATAAACGTTATTAACCTGCTAATTGAAACATACAACAAGTATATCAATGATAAAATAAATGCTGCTGATTGTTGTAGTAGTATTATCCATGTACAAAAAATGATCATATTTGTCAACAACCATCCAAAACAAGAAATGATCTGGCATAAACTACTTCCTAAGATGGTTATTCATAAAATACTGACGACGAAAATCAAAATCTTTTTGAACAACTTTATATTGATCAGGTTGTTGAAAAGATTAAGAACAAAAAGAACATTTCATGGCTCGATCCCAAGATCTGGATACAAAGCATTGGGCACAACACAAATAAACATTCGAGAAAAGGTTCTTTTTTACCTGTTTTAGATGTAGTAGCTTTTCGAAATACATATAAATCAACCTGACAATCAGAGTGCAAGAGAAAAAGTAAATGAAAAAGCAAGAAAATACTCTCTAAGTGCAATACTTTACTTCTCATCCTTCGAACCAAGTTATGCAACTTATACAAACAGAAACTCTTTATTTTTCCCAAACGATACAACAAAAATGGAACTCGCCACTATACTGGAATATCTGAACAAAAATCGTGCCACCATCATCATCAAATAATTCGATGTTAGATTATTTGTACGTGCATAAGCTCTCATCCCTTTGTCGAACGTTTAGAGAATTCGATGCTCAGCAACTTTTATTATTATAAATAAAGTAATGAAAAGAGCAAGTACATGTAATCACTTATAAATATGCACAAGTGTCGGTATGTTTCATTCAGACCCACCTTATCGCATCACTTTTGAATGGAGAAGTTACGCTTTAGGCCGAAGATTTGCGCAGATAAGCTTTTTCACGGCTTATTTCGAAACAGTATTTGCACGCATCAAATTTTGCATCTTTTCTACAGGTTGTCAGCAATTACCAATTACTAGTGTTCGTTATAAATGTTTACAATGTCCCAATTATGATTTATGTCAAGCATGTTATAGTGAGAAAGAAATACATAATCAACACTGTACGGCTACAATACGACAACCTTGTCAGGTATATAGATGTTTTGTTGCATACGAAAAGTCACAATTTGGGTGACGGTGTAGTTCATGTGATAGGTTTGTAGAATACTTTTCAATGTTGGCAAAAAAATAATTGATGTTCAACACTAGTTCTGTGAGAAAGCAACAAAATACTGATATCAAAAGCGATATCTGAGACACCTCTGTGTCTGACTTGATCGAATCTATCATAAATTGACTCTGACAATTTGTGTTAAGAACTTCAACCAAATCATAATCGATTACTATTCGAACTATTGTTGTGTATCATCAGCAAGTGATATGATTGATTCTCAATTAGAGATCGACGATCCACTGTATCTATTTGTTCGGTCACTTAGTATTTTGCTCATATCTTACGATGTTACGCGATCGTTAGTTGAATTTTCTCTCCTAAGCTTTATTGTTTTCTTAAAAGATGTGCCGTAAAATTCTCTACAAAAAATATATTAAACATTTTCTATATACCGTAAAGATAAAAGAATATCGAAGAAATACTGCGAAGCTTCGATCTCGATTACTTTGCAATTCAAGAAACAATGAAAAAAAATATTTTGAGTACGGTGTCATGCATAAAGGTGGAATTATGAACATAAGTTCTGGTGCTCTGAAGAGTCGTCTTTCTTTTCGTCTGTCATAGGTTCAGCTTAAACATATTTTTCTAGCACAAAAGATGATTGTACTAAAATCTAACAAAAACAGGGGAAATTTTGTCTTTTTCGTCGTGACACAGGAAAACAAAGGAAAATATTGAACTTTCTCTATACGGATATAACAGAAGAATTATTTTACTTTAAGATAAAGAAAATCCGATCTCAAAATGTTTGATTTTGATCGAGTTATAAACGTTTTTCTAACTACACTAAAACTACAGTTGGTAAATGTTGATATCGAGGACAGTCGATAAAAGAAAAAAATTCTTCCTCAACCGATTATGATTATGAAACGTTTTAAATATAGACACTTGATAGAGCTTTTCAAGGGCTATCAAATGGCCATCTTCTTGTTTTTTGTTTCACAAAGTATGAAGGACTAAAACTGAAAAAATTGTTTTTTGAGTTGCAAAGTAATCGAAATAGAAGCTCCACAGTATTTCTTCGATATTCTTTTATCTTTACGGTATATAGAAAACTGTTTAATATATTTTTGTAGAGAATTTTACGGCACATCTTTTAAGAAAACAACAAAAGCTTAGGGGAGAAAATTCAACTAAGATATGAGCAAAATACTAAGTGACCGATTTATTCTGAAGCACCCGTTAGTTCTTGAAGACATTTAAAGTTAATCAGCTCTTCTGACTACTTAATCAGTTATAAGAAGAGTGATCTAAAATACAAGAACACTTTCCTAAAGAATCGCTAAATTTCTTTGACAACTTTTAGGTCCGGTTTATAGAATGAAGATCAACTGCTTGACCAATGCTTTTCAAAATTATACCAGCTATTCCCGCACATTCTAGAATCGTATATTTAGACTTCAACGTGCTCACGATCTCTCTCGAACTTTTTAAAAATGATTTTAAGTTAGTCGAACGTTTCATCTAACTCACTCCCAAGAATTTTGACTTCCAATTCAAGTTGGTTTTTGAATAAAAAATCTCGAAGGCGAATCTAAAATTTTCAAGACAAGAATCATTTAGACTGATTTTCTATTCTGAGAAGGGAAAGTTCACTGTTTCTTTGCTATACGTGTTCATGGTTATTTAATGTGATGATTCTGATTTACATCAAAGGCAGAGGCTATTGTAGAAAGAATACTCGTTAGTTTTTCACGTTTTCCCCTTCGATGCATGTTACATTAGCGCTTGCTCATGTCTAGGTGATTTGCATGAATCGTGCAATAGTGAACCTTTTTACGGTGGATAAATGGTCTACAGACATTGTCAAGTATTTGCATATCAATATAGCGATACTGCTGCAGAGATAAATAGGCGCAATTCATAAAAAAAGTTTAGTTATTTGACAAATTTTGAACGAATTATAAACTCGGCACCACTTAATGCAAGGTTCCTGAAACTATAACTTCAGAAAAGCATTTATTGTTTAGATAAATGAATCCGCTTAAAAGGCGTCAGAGCACGATAAAACAGCCGCACCGTCACGATATAGACGAAGCAGTTTTTCGTAACTATCATTTGGTAAACAAATATTTCTCATCATATCTGTTTTGTTCTGAGATATACCTACACCTCCAATTGTGGCAAGAAAACCTAATGTGGTATGCTATGGAAGCGCTTTCAATTTCAGAGTATGATAGCCCAACCTTACAGCTTCTCCTGCAGCAAGTTCTAGTAATTTTTTTTTCTGTTGATGCATCAGGAGCACGCCATTCTGCTACGCAAATATTACCCGATTTGTCTGGATTCAAAACGATGCAACAGCTGTTGTTAATGTTCTGAAGAACTGCTAAAGACCGCCAGTTGCTGATTACCCATTCACTGGAATAGTCAGTACTTCGTTTGACTTGTAATTGTCTGGGTTTACTGGTATAAGACTCTAAAAGATTATCAGAAACGTCTGATTGATACCACTCACCATTCACAGGCGAAAATGTTTGCTTCAACTTCAAATCAAGTTCAGGAGCTTGAATTAATTCCCATCTTACGAGGAAAGGTCCCCAACTGTCAAATCGCTTTTGATGTAAGACTTAGTGGACAATGGGTAACCGAGCATGCTGATTCCAAATATGACAATGGTTTTTGCCGGTGCGTCTTTGGAGACCCCGGTTTTTGAAAAAATGGATTTTCGCAATGAAAAACGTTTTTGATCGGTACAAATCAAAGCGCATGCTCTAAAATTCATTGCGAAAACCCATTTTTTCAAAAACCGGGGTCTCCAAAGACGCATTGGCAAAAACCATTGTCATATTCGGAATCAGCATGCTCGGTTACCCATTGTCCACTAAGTTTTACGTCAAAAGTGGTTTGACTTTCCCTCGGTAGTACTTCATAATGATTGTGTACTGTAGCACTAAGAGTTGAATAATGAAAATTTTTCTCGAATCGTTTTTTATTAATAGCCATTTCCAATAATTTTCTCGATAAACCTTGACGGCGGAACCGTGATACAGTAACAACATTGGCGATACCGCCGCACTTAAATAGTGAACAGTTCCATTGAGTCATGAAACAACAAATATGTGCTACGCTAACTAATTGTCCTTTACTCCAAGCTCCCAGAGTATCGCCTTGTTGGTAATCAATTGCTGTTGAATAATATCGCTTGAAACATTCTTGGTCTTGATCCAACACGTTCTGCCATAATCTTAGAACTAGTTTTTCTTTTCCGTGTTGAATTGCAGGAAACGAAGTTCCATATGACGATGAAAGTGTACGTACTACTGTTCGCACAACGGATGGGGATAAAATCATTCTTGAAAATACTTCTTAATATGATGGGAAATCAATTTGATTGCGCTGCTATGAAGCAAGTTTAAAGTTTTAGCTGTAGTAACTCGACGAGCGCACATAGAAGTGAGGAAAAGAACACGGTACCGCTCAGTTTCATTGATTATTCCTAGTCTACGTACCGATTGTTCAGTACTGACGTACTGGCGATAAACATACCAACACTTTCGACATTACTGTACATAGCACTGTAAATTTGAATCTTTTCCCTATGGATTGAATCTTTTCTTTGTTTTTACAGATGTAGAGGCGAGAGAAGAAAATAGTGTAACTAATTAGGTCAATACAATGACTCATCACTTTTCTTCATTCTAAAATAAGTCGCGCGCGTAGTTTGTTTTGGTTTGGAATTTTTAATATTTTGCTTTTAAATTAGTGAATCACTTAATAACATCAACACCAATTTAAGGTGTTTCAAAGAAGAAAAATCATACCACCACTGAATATTTTAGACAGCAGCGATGAAGACGAATCGGTCAGTGCAAAAATGATTGTGCGACTCCCAACCTCTACAGTTGTAGCAGAAGCAGAAGCTATTCACAGTAATACACCAGCTATTCGCAATGGAACGTTAACTTCACTTTCACAAACCAGCGTTTTAAGTGAGACAGAGCTGTACGATAATTCTTTTCAAATTGTTGAGCAACGTCATCGACGTAAACAAGTAGATAGACACACTGAACAATACTATGATGCAAGAAATTCTCCTCGATTCAGCTCACTTAATTTAAATCTTACACGAGAAGCTGAACGTTATGCATGCCAATTTACATTCCCACCGATAAAAAATTTTTATACTGATGAAAATGTAACGTTTAGTGATCATATTGTTTGCAATTTTATATCTAATTTCGTTAAATAATGGATGTACAGATTTATTATCATTCTGGCGGCTAAGCAGTAATAAGAAAAACCTCTATTTATTTGCGGATGATCGAGATTCATTTTCACGGCTATTAGTAGATCGTGCGTATCCAAAAGATATTTGTGGACAAGCATATCATGTCAATTATCCGAAACGTATTCCTCCTCAGTTGTGTCTTCTTGCTATAGGTGTTCCAACTTATTTAACAGAAGAGGAAATCATAATGGATATTAGAAGTCAGTATTCTTCGGCTAGTGTAGTATTATTTGATCCTCCGCAGTCTGTGAGATCCAGAAATGTCAAAATTCATTTTCGACTTAGTGAAGAATATTCTAAATGTCTACAAAATGGTTACATCTATATTAATCATCAAAAAGTGACTATCAAACGATATTTAGGTACACCACGTGTAATGATATGTAATAAATGTCATGGTTTTGGACACTTTAGGTCAAAATGTGTATCAAAAGTTGAATATTGTAGTGTATGTAGTGAAGAAAAATCTGATAGTAGTCCACATCAATGTCCTAATTTTGAGAAATGCAGAAATTGTGGAAGTACGCACCGTTATAGTGATACCAGATGTCCAACACTAATTGCTTACAGAAGAAAATTATTTCAGCGTCTTTTCGATAAGAACCTTCTTCCAAATCACGTTCACATTCCACGCGAGTTTAGAAATCGTTTAAATCAGATTTTACCATCTCAGTCGAAAAATCATTTATTTTATCGACACCTCAAAGAAAATCTTCTGTAAACCAGCCTCCTCCAACTTCCTCACCACAGAGACCTTTACCATTGATGTCTTTGAATCTGAATAGTCGATCGCAATCGCGTACATATGCCGATGCTGCTGGAAGAGTTGGTACAGTTCAGCCGGATCCTCCTATGCAATATAATGTCATTGAGCATTTACAGTCGTATCAACAACGTCTATCAGCTATTGAGACTCATCATTCAAATCAAATGCTACTGTTAGGTAATCAAATAAACATGTTAAATGCAAAAGCAGATTTTATATCAACAAAAATTGATCAACTGTCTCAACTGGTCACACGTGTTATTGTCCCTAGTATTTTCACATTATCAAATGTTTTTGTTAGAATTAATGAACAGTTTTTAAGTAAGACAGACAGAACAGATAAACAAACATCTTCTCTTTTAGGTTTTGAAGCAGAAGCCGAAAAAGTCAAAGAAATGGAGAAAACACTAAAAGAAGCACTGAGACTAAGTGAATCAAGTTTTTCTCACAGTACCTCAGCTTTCTCCAAATTACTGTCAAATTTTTCGCTTTCGGACACACCATCTTCTAGTTTTTTAAATACGTTTGATACTGTTAATGCAAATCTTCAATTAGAGCAATCATGTCTTTAAGCCCTTTATCTTCACCTTTCGTTTTTTTAACTCTTTCATTCCACTAGACACTGTTTATCCGTATCTAGAGCAAATGTCTGTTTTCGATCAAAATCTTTTAATCGATATTGTCAATGAGTGGAACTCCAAATCTACCATTTCTTCTCTTTCAAATTTCTGGAGCACGACTCTTCCAGAAGGCTGTTCTGTCTTGAGGCC